GCCTTGCACCCCCGCTTACGGCGGCCCTGACCACGACGATGTTTTCAATGTGTTTAGTATAGGGCGAAACCGATCCAGACGCGAGCCTTAAAACGTTTTCATTTATATTGCACGCAGTAGGTTGTATTATGTGCTGCATAATTCAATTTATTCAAACCTATGTATTTTGATTCTGTACAAAACAAAGAATATTTATAAACTGTAGCCACAGTACTTAGGTTGTTTTTTTGAGCAATCACTTTACGTGTTAAGGTTTGGAAATCGTCTTATCACTAGCGCTGGGTGGCCAAACACTCAAACATAGATCTGGAGGCCATGGAGTTTTTATTAAAAGCCGAATAGGTAATTTCGAACACCGCAAATTCAATTTAGGTCCATGAGGGAAGAAAATGATTGTTCTTCGTACAGGTTCTGAAAATGGCTAGTTGGATGACGGATTTTTTTTTAATAACCTCTTTCCTAGTTTAGAACCAAATTGTGTTATTAGTAAGAATAACGTACCTACGCTATTGTTTTATTCTTTTCGACAATATTCCAAATACAAGGACAAGGACAAGGAAAAAAACGGTCCAAAAAAATTTAGACTGAACTTTTCTCGCTTTTAAAGTACCATCAAACAACCCTAAAATTTATATAAAGATATGTGTGGATTGTTCAACTAAGGTAAAGAAACATGCATATGCGCATATTTCGAGTGAGCTTTTCACAATAAAATTATGTGATGACGTCATTAACGTCAAGAACACGTCAGTTTGAATAGATAGACTATAGTCCGCATAACAATTGCATTCTCAAAATTTCTGGAAACTTTTTTGACTCACCCTGTATAAACAATTCTTAAACATATGGATGCAGTAATAAGCCATAAGTGCACACTTATAATATTTGACATTCTAAATAGGGTTTTTCCAACAAAATTTTGAAATGACGTCGTCAAGTTTTTGGAGGGGCTTAACAGATACATTTTGATATCTTTTTCTACAACAAATAGAGTTTGTTATATTATGTAAAACGAAACGAACATGTATTCATTAATTTTAATCAGGAATCATATAGTCACTTTTATTTTAAGTGCCATCTAATTATTTTAGGTTATAATAGGGGGGTGGGGCGTAGGTATTAGCTCTTAAAAATTAATAATCCTACAATGCTTGAGGCAGGTGTCAGTTTTTCGGTAAATGAGAATTCACATTTTTAGATCACATTTGTGGTGTCCCAATTTGAATTAAAATTTTGCACTGAGAAAAAAAAAACAACGGCACGAAAGCGTATCTGAACACTTTGAATTTGAAAAATAAATTAAAAAAATCGTTAAACATAGACAACCATGTCAAATTCACTTGGGTAGTCCGTCCTAACGAATTAGTGAATGTCGATCTTTAAATTGGTAGTTATTTGGTGAAGGGTTGGCGGGAAAGCAGACTCATTTTGGTTTAGATGCGTCACTTCTGATGTGACGGTGTGAGTGTAAGCACGTAGTTGTGTTAGGAAATTCATCTAGTGAGGCTTCATTCTTTTGTTTATCAAGTCACAACAAAGGTTTCTGGATGTTTTAACTTAAGTATTACATTCTAACAAACTTCTTAATTTCTCGCTCGATACTAATAGTTCATTTATGGTATTTAAACTGATCTAAACGTTGGTCTATTTTGACAAAAAGGAATTTTCATTGTTAAAGACGGGAGAGGATTTTGCACTTGGGGAATGAATCCACCTTCTTAAAAGTTGGGCTCATTTCAATAAACGACTTTCGTATCTTCTACATTTTGTGTCTGATTTAGGGATGCTTTTCCAGCCTTGGGGTTTACCACTTTGCATTTGAACGCATTCCGCTATAAAAAACACAACATAGGGTTCCACTTTTGTTGATAATTGCAGTTCAAGTTCAAATTTTTGAATTTTTCGCGGGTTTTAAACATGTGTTCACATGACAAATTTTTGGGGGGATATTGGGTTATCACAGTATTTGACGAAGGAATGTTGACCGTTGTTGTGTATGTTACTAGAAAAATATTGCTGTATGTACATATATGTATTTAAATTTAAATTTTGTCGAATCTTTACACTACGTAGATTATCCTTAAATATACAGTGCATCTTTTTTAATAGTGGGTATAGAGCTTTCTAGGTTAAATTTTATTTAGGATCGAAACAGATCATGAACACGTGCCGCCTCTCAGTTTGGACTTTACTAGATGCCCAAGGGCGCATGACAAATACCGCAAGCATCTGTATAACTGGTTGCCTAAATGCTTCATACCTTTTAAAAAATAAAACTAATCCATTACAATAAGAAGAAACAAATTTATTGCGGTTAAACATCACAGTAAATGTTGAAAATGTTCACCATTTTGTTCAAGGCACATGTTCACTGTCTTTTTAATTTCAAAAATGTTCTGTAATACATGTTTAATTTCATGTTGGAACAGTAATTCCTGACTGCTGAGGAAATTTTGTCAAAGGTGTTTGCGCATTCTGCTCAAGTCGTCTCAAATCATCAACAACTTCCTCAGATACTGAAGATCTTCCACGAGATTTCCTTTTGCAGACACTGCCAGTTCGAACGAATCTGTTGATAATGTCTGTAATGTGAGCTTCTAAAGATGTTCCCTGAATTATTAAATCACGGTATTTGGCCAGATATTCTTGCTTACAAGCGGTTACATACACTCTTCGTTTACGAAGTCCCATTGCGATAACAAGACATAACTCAATGAAAGTGTTTCGTTGAACAGAATAACCAACTTTCACCGTCTTCGCTTCCTAGCACAAAAACAAAATTTTCGTACGCAACCACCAAGAGTTGTGTTGTTTTGAGCTTGAATCAGTGAGAATTACTGTAATTCATACTTGAAAAACGTTAAAATAGTAAAAACGACGACTTTAAATGACAGATTACAAATGACATGAGAGAACTGTCAATTATAATTATAACAAGTGATATGATTATTAAATATAATATTTCGAGTGAAACCGCTTCGGTTTCACGAGCCATATCTTCGATTATTAATCATGTCACGAGTTATATTCAACATGAGAATATAATAAATGAATACATTTTTTGACAATAGAATTGATTTCGTCGTTTTGAGCTTGCACCCAACGTTGGTAAGCCATAAAAGACAAAAAAATTTATGAACTTCTAAAATTTGTCAATTTGACAGTTTTTAAATTTAGGTAGCAACAGACCACAATAAGGCAATAAAATTATTATCGCTGTGATAGACATGTAACTAAGGGCATGAACAAATTCTATTGGAAGAAATGGGGTCATGTGATACATGAATTATATTCTCATAGGTATAATTTCAGCGAAGCGGGATTTTTGAAATCCGTGGCCAACTACGCCCTTAGAATCATTTATAAAAACTTTGTATGTTTGAGTGAAGAATCAGAGTTGACATTTTTACTGAATGTAACTTGGGTATTTTGGTCGATAATATGGTAGGCAGCTGTGTAAAAACAGATATTTACTTGACATTTCTGAAATTTGATTATTCTTTTGATTACAGGTTTTCACTAACCGAAATTCATCAACATGCCGTAGTACACATAATTAAAGAAAAAGTGGAACATTAGAAGCTTAAATCAGTAGATTTCTTTACACCCAAAATAAAATTTTGTGTGCACTATAAACATACCATCAAAATGCCTGTTGTATGTAATAAATGCAACAAAAGTGCTAATGATAATGATGTAATAGTGTGCGATCTATGCAAGTCATCAATACACTCAATCTGCGCTGGCCTATCCCGTCAAGAAACCGAATGTGTTCGCCTAAAGAAAAGTAAACTTCGATATTTTTGTGATAAGTGCAACATAGTCGAGATAATCGGAGGATTAAGGGCAGAAGTTGAAAAATTGAGAAGTGAAGTCGCCGAGTTAAAGTACGAAAAAACAGGTAACGTACTTAACAAATTGTTATCAGAAGAAGAAATTATCAGCGAGGTAGATGATAGGCAACGCCGGGCCACCAACTTGATCGTTTATAATTTACCGGAATCAGATGATAAGACCGTAATTAATTCAAAACGGGATGACATTTCTCAGTTTGTTGCACTTGTCTCGTCAGAGGAGTGGAAGAATGAAATTGTTCCTGATAAGTGTTTTCGCTTAGGGAAAAAAGTAGAGAACAAACGTCGTCCACTGTTAATTAATTTCAAGTCTAGTACTGTCGTATTATCGATATTACGTAACTACAAAGCTGCCAATAATATATATATGAATCGCGATTTAACTGCGAGACAAAGAAACATTGCATATTTGGTACGTGAAGAATTTAGGTCACGTAAAGAAAATGGAGAAGGGAACATAAAACTGAAATATACAAATGGAGTGCCAAAAATAGTTAATATTGTTAATGGTAGTATAACTATTGACCCAAAAAATGTTTAAATGTCCAACGTTCAAGAAAAATAGTCCATAGTATGAATTTAATTTATCAGAATGTAAGAGGGCTAAATACAAAAACTGAAACATTTTATAGCAATGTTGTAGACTGCGATAATGAAATAATTGTACTAACTGAAACATGGCTATGTGATGAAGTCTTGTCAAGCGAATATTTTCCACCGAAGTATTGTGTTTACAGGTCTAGCAATGGACGTAGAGGCAGAGGTGTAATAACTGCTATTCGTACAGATTACATATCATATCAGGTCACCAATCATTCGCCTATTAGTGAAGTTGATTTGCTAATTGTAAAAGTAGTACTACGTGATAAAATTCTAAATGTAATAAACGTGTATTTCGCTCCAGAAATTAATTCACTCATCTATGAGACTATTATTGAACATATTGAGAATATGGTAAACACATCTGAGTTATCGATAATAGTTGGAGATTTCAACATACCCACCTTTGCAGAATATTACTTCAAACCAGAACCATCCACAAATGTCAGACTTGCTTATAATACTCTAGCGACGTTTATGCATTTTAACTCCCTTAAACAACATAACAACATTTTAAACAGTAACTTAAGAATTCTGGATTTAATCATGTCTACAACTGATCTTCACTGCGATGTATCAAGGTATGAATTACCTCTTGTAAAAGAAGATAAACACCATCCCTGTTTACTTACTCAAATCTCTATTGCTGATAGTAAAGAAGTACCGTTCAATACTAAGGAGATATATAACAATAATTGTCATCGATATAATTTTCTCAAAGCTGATTTGCCAAACCTGCATTGTGAATTTGGCCGAATAAACTGGAATGACATAACTGAAATCAAAGATGTTAATTGTGCCGTTGATCATCTGAATGGCAAAATGTATAATCTCTTTGATAAATTTGTTCCAAGAGTTAAGGTTCGATCTAGTACTAATTTTCCACGTTGGTTTACATCCGAAATTATTAAAGATATAAAGACGAAAAACAATTACAGACGTTTGTGTAAAAAGCACAAATTCTTAGCTTATATGGATAAAGTCAAAAGTCTTAATAGGAAAATAAAGAAAAATATCAGAAAGGAATATGGTAATTTTAAACAATTAGCTCAGGATAGAATAAAAAGTGAACCGAAGCATATTTGGTCGTACATTACAGATAAGAAAAAATCTAGTGGAATACCTGGAAGTATGAAGTATGGTCACAATGAATTCTCAACTCCACAGGATATTGTAGAAGGGTTTGCACAACATTTTAGCAGTGTTTATATTAAGTGTGATGGTACTTGTGATAGTAAGTACAATGGCTGTAATAAATCTGCTAATACTTTCGACCATGTTTGTTGCAACTGTGACAGTGATAATAATTTATTAAATAACGTGTTACATAAATTTATAGTGTCGGAGAAGATGATTACAGAAGCTGCTCGTAGAATCAAACCAAATCTGACTATGGGACCGGACAACGTACCAGCTTTTGTAGTGAAAGAGTGCATTACCTGTCTGATCACACCACTGTTGCATATTTTTAATCTCATACTGAAAACAACGAACTTTCCTACGATGTGGAAGATGTCTAAAATTTGTCCCATTTTTAAATCTGGTTGTAAGTCGGATATCGCCAATTACAGACCAATATCAATTATATGTAATTTCGCTAAGTTGTTTGAAACTATACTGTATAATAGTGTATATGCTCATGTAACACCTATGAAAAATGATTGTCAACATGGTTTTGTCAAGGGAAGGTCCACAACAACCAATTTGTGTGAATTTACACAGTTTGTCTCGGAATCCCTTGAACAAAAATACCAGGTGGATGTTGCGTATACCGACCTGTCAAAAGCATTTGATAAGGTTAATCATAAGCCTCTTATTAAAGAAATTACATTTATACGGCTTATGTGACGATTTACTTTTATTGTTTAGGTCCCTTATTGTTGGTAGAATTCAATACATTGAATATAAAGGTTTCAAATCGACCTTATATGAGTCATATAGTGGAATTGCACAAGGATCCAATCTAGGGCCATTGATGTTTATTATATTTATCAATGATATTGTTGACTATTGTAAAATTAATGAGAAAAGTTATCTATACTTATATGCGGATGATCTGAAAATAGCACAAATGATATGTGAACCCAAAGACTGTGAACTACTTCAAAAGATGCTTCACAGCCTTGTTGAATGGTGCAATAAAAATAAGTTGGTACTAAATATCAGCAAGTGCTTTGTAATGATATTTTCACGCAAGATTCAGGATATTAGATTCCAGTATCTCATAGATGGTACTGTATTGGACATTAAATCAGACTGTAGAGATCTAGGTATTGTTATGGATCGTGAACTGTCTTTTGTACCACATATAAATTACATTTGTAACGAATCTTACAAGTTATTAGGATTTATAGTAAGAAACACCAGAGATTTCTATAGTACGGAATGTTTATTAACTGTTTATAATGCGTATGTAAGGTCTAAATTAGAGTATTGCTGTATACTATGGAGACCCTATTATAATACTCATATTATGACACTCGAAAAAGTTCAGAGAAAATTCTGTAAATACTTATTTTACATAAAACATAAATATTACCCATCAATAGGTTATCCACAGTATCAGCTGTTATGTGAATTTAAATTGTCAGACTTGCATGTAAGGCGTCAATTTATTGCAATTATATTTGTATACAAAATAGTCCATGGTATAATCAAATGTTCAAATTTATTAAGCAAAATATCGTTTCATATTCCTCGTTTGAATTCAAGAAATCCGGTCACATTTTATATCGAATTTGCCAGAACTAATATGTATATGTATTCTCCTGTAAATTATATGTGTTCCTCGTATAATGATATCTGCAATAAAGTAGATATATTTGAAAGCAATATGCAGCAGTTTACTAGTAATTGTAAGAAATGCTTGTATGACTAGTCACTATTTCCTTATTATTTTGTTATAATAGTGTGTAGATATTTATGTAATTTTTGTATCCTACTATGGACAACTTGTCCGTTGGATAAATACATTATTATTATTATTATTATTATTATTAATAATATTATTATCCACAAGAGATACTGCGCAAAATTTTGCTGCAGCATTTTCACATCGTCCTAAACCCAACAAGAGCACAATTCGAAAAGTTTATGGCAAAGTTCCTATCGATCATGGACATCAAAAACGCAACTTCATTAAAATTATCTTTTTTTTTTCTTCATTTATATTTGATTTCCATCATTCTATTTCTTTTATAAAAACTGCAATAAAGATGTATAGTGATTAAAGCTATGCTGTCATTTTTGCGAAGTCACAATGATAAGTTAAAACCTTGGTGTACCTAAACTTTTTAGCTAAAATAATGTTTCATTTTTAAAACAAAATTTACTGCAAAAAGTGGTAGTGGAAATTAAAGCTGAACCCTAAGGTTTCTACTACTATAGGTCTTAAATATATAGTATAGAAATTAAACGTAACTGGTGAACCCTAACGGTTTAAAAAATATGATCCTTCTATACTTGTTGTTGTCACAAGATTGCTATTTTAGATAAGCAAGGAACAAGTAAGGACTTTTCTTTAATTCAGGATAACTAATATACAATATTTATTATTAGGAACGTATAGTACTGATTCTTGTGTATTTATTTCATTAAGAATTATCAATTCCCACATGTACAATGTATACGAATGGGTATATATAACAATATTCAACAGAAATGGAAAATACATGCTTGATTTTAAATTTTTATAAACTTAGTAAATGCAACCTAAAGTTAGATATCAAAACAAATGAAGTACACTAAATATTGTTGTAGTTTGATGCCATCAACAGACCAGAATCATACTTTCTCTGCTTTAAGATAAATTGTTTGTTTAGGCTGTAGCAGAAACGAACTAGGCATAAATTCTAACGGTTTAGATGAAGCACTAACCGACAGCCGGAAATTTTTAATAATGGTAGCTATACCAATTTTGGATTGCATTTGCCCAAATCGTAAACCTGGAAAAACAAAAATGCAGTGATCAATGTATCTCTATGTTTTCAGTCAAAACCAAACTAACCTATGCAATTTCTCGGACCATCACCAAACGGCAAATACACAAACGGATGCCTCATCTTCTTACTTTCTTCGCTGAACCTATCTGGATCAAATTTTTTCGGGTTCGGATAGAATTCTGGATCCATTTGCAAACCCAAAGCCGATATAAGAACGCGAGTACCTTTCTCAAGAACTACATTGGTATCTCGTAGAGTATAGTCTTTGGTACAACGACGATTCAGGGTTGGAAGGGGTGGATACATCCTCAGCGTTTCTGTAAAGAACAATTTTTTTGCTATTTTTCTCCAGAAATGACAATACTCACCATCAAGAACTTGCGCTAGGTATTTCATTTCGCTCAGACTCTCGTATGTTAATTTGTTGTCGTGCTTGTCCAAAACCTGACAAATTTCTTCTCTTAACTTCTTCTGGATATCGGGATTCCGTGCAAGCTCGTACAATCCAAAATTCATTGTGGTGGCACTAGTTTCAAAACCAGCAATAAAGAAAGAAATCACTTGTGCGGTCATTTCGTCATGAGTAAAATTTGTCGATTCTTGCAAATTTATTAAAAGTTGCAAAAAGTCATTACGATGGATGTTCTCCTCTTGACGCAACTTGACAGTGTCCGTCACCACCTTTCTGAAGAAATTTCCCACTTTCTCGACGCTGATTCTTAAGCTCAATTGCATTGCCAGTTTTGGAAAGTTAATGGCAATGAAGGATTTTATAGCGCGCCGAAAGTTGAACGTGAAGAGTTCTCGACCCATGGCTCGGAATTCTGCGTCTGGGTGTTTGAAACTATTACATTCAATACCAAAAGCACAAGTACCGATAACGTCAGTAGTGTATCGGCCTACTGTCTCTTTCATGTCTATGTCTTGCCCTATACTCTTCACCATAGCCTCCTTCATGTAGTTAGCACATTCAACCACCGAATGGAACATTGTTTTCATTTTCCCTGAAGTGAAGGTTGAGGTCAGTTTAACACGGAGATTCTTCCAGTCATCACTGTCAATAACGAAGAGATTGGCAATGAGGGGATCAGTTTTTTTGTTATGGTAAAATCCTCGATCTGCAAAGTACTGAAAATCCTTGCTAAGGATGTCTCTAACGTAGTCTGGATCAACGACGACCAAGTTGGGAGTCGTCACTAAATAAACCCCACCAAATTTGTGTCCTTCACGTTTCAGTTCATCGTAAAATGTTTTGCTGACGGGACCAACCGAAAAGCCTTGTGGCAAAAGAGTGTTGGTGTTACCTAGCGGAAACTTGGGTTTAATGGTAGGGACGCCTTTCCTTGCCCAGTATTTGTACGCATTGTGGAAATGATGTGCAGTTAGTATCACGAGGCCTGCTGCCACAAGAATTACTTCCAACAAACTATCCTGAATGACAAGGCCCATGGTGAAGGTTATCACTACACAGGAGTTCACGATAGACTAGTGTGCAGGATTAAATTTAACGGTTATATATCTTGAAGATAATATTCTTCTAATAGTTTTTCGTGCAAAAACAATGATTTGCAGATATATATATAAAAAATATCGAGTGGGCTGATTGATAAGGCTTAGTGTATATAATGACGCAGTGAACATTTTTTAACTCTTGAATGTGCAGTACTTATTTCAGCGTTCTCGAAATGAAGTGAATTTAATAAGGAACCTTTCAATTTTTGAGTATCGCGCTTTTCGGTAATAGTCATGCAAAAACAAAACAAAATCGATGCGGCTACAAAAACGACATCACTTTATATTGCACATAGCTAGGTTGTATTAAGTGTTGCATAATGTTGTTACTTCAAAAGTACGCCTTGATACTGTACAGAAACAAAAAATGTTTATGACCTGTATAAATAAATAAGGGAACACTTTTAAATTATAAGCCATATCTATATATTTAGATCATATTTTTGCAGCAATCATTTTACGCTTCGCGGTTTGGAAATCGTTTTATCACTATGTTGAGAGTGGGAAAACATTGGGTTTGGTGGCCTTACGTAGTTATTAAAACGTTGAGGAGATAATTTGGACTACCGTAAATTGAATATAACTTCAAAAAGAGGAAAGAAAACAATTATTCTGCATACCAATTCCGAAAACGGTTAGTTGGATATGAATGGAAATCATAGAATATTTATTGAAAAAGAAAATTAAAATTGTTTAGACAGAATTTTCTTAACCCCTCAAGTACTTACAATCAAACAAATTAGGTTTGTGGGATACATTCTAAAATTTAATTTTGCAAATTTTTTTTTTTCTGCGACAACTCCTATAAATTTAAATAAATAGAGATCTGATTGGTTAAACTACAGGTAAAGCGTCTTTTGAAATATTTTGTGATGACATCATCAAGTTTTTAACAACACCACATACTGAGATATGTTTTTAATTCTGAACACACGTATCAGTGCCTTCGGAGAGACAATTTCCTCATCAATTTGTGGCGGTATAATTTTTTACCTGTCGTGCGGTCGTTGGAGTGACAGCTCGTGTTTCAAAGTGCTTTCGGAGTATTTTTTCCTCTGGTAGTTTATGCCTTATATTGTTGGTAACTGGGAGGATATATCATGTGGTAAACAGGAGAATTATCTTAGATCTAATATCTAAATGCTTCTTTTTGTTAAAGGCATTAAGTTTTTTAATGGCTGGTAATTATTCAGCCTTATCTTATATTCTGTTTTACTCGCCTGATAGCCTGATACCTACACTTTGTTGTCACTATATGGTTGAACGTGTAGAGTTTTAGCACGTTTTTACAATTTTACGTTGTGAGCGTATGAGCTCGTTATTGTAGGTTCTGCGTCTGTGGTTTCTTAATTCTTTATTTCTTTTTCTGCTCTTCTCTTTTCCACTTTTTTATCCTATTGATAATTTCAATAATATGTCGTGTGTAGGTAAGGAGAGAAAAGCGTTGTGTCTCGGTGGGATTCGAACCCCACGCCTCTCGCTCTTCGGGCAAGCATCCTAACCACTAGACTACGAGGCTTTCTCTGCTTACCGACGTGTTATTGTGCCGCCACATCGTGTTTCAGATGTAACACTAAAATCGACGAGAAAATCGTTTATTAGGTATGATGGATGCAACAGGCCAGTCCATATCCATTCTAATTGCTCGGATTTAACTGCTAATGAAATTAAATGTTTCCCTGAACTGCGTCCCAATAACAAACGTAGAGTAGAATAAATTTGCCTGGAGTGTGATCATGATCAGGGTCTCCATCAGGTTTCTTTTTTTTCTTTCAACCGTTTCCTTCTAATAATATTCAAAAAACCTACAATTTTTGTAAAGCGAATTGTGTTGCTTTTTATCATACGCTTTGTGACATTATAGCATGCTACTTTTACTTGCCTGTGTGTGGGATGTTTTCTAGGGGCCGCACAAATGCTTGGGTGCTTAACATCGGTCTTGAACACCATAAAAGACAAATAAAAATACTAAAGGGCCTAAAAAAATATATGGTAGTGTTGAGCTAGTCAAATTAAGTATAACTGGTTGCATACGTTCGCTTTGTTCAGAATTTTCGGTTCTTAACTTTATTTTCTTTTCGATTTGTTTCGTTTCTTTGTGATTTTTAGGCGCCAGTCGATATAGGGCGGTTGCAGAGTCGCCTTTCGCGGAGTGTCTCTCTCAGTGGCGGCTCGTCATATGAGGCAAGTGAGGCGGTGCCTCACAGCATATATCTTAAGAACAGATTGATTTAATTTATAATTAAAAAAGAGCTTTCAATGCATTTTTAGTTACAAAAATATGTTGAAATGGTAAATCTGTAGATTATTTTTTATTTTTTACACTTTCTGCGGACATTTTCCGTTGAATACTGTACGATTTATGCCCCGAATTCTTTAAGTGAAGCGGCCAGAGCGTCGGTTCACTTGAGCCAATGAAGCCCAATCACAGACACGGATTTCCATGACTCAGCTGCTATACTCCTATACATGAATTCGCTCGGAACTGAGGCGATATCTTCGATGCTTCTCGGCCAATTTCGGCGGACGCATTAAACCATTTTCCCATTTATTTTACAGAATGGAAGGGGTGCAGGGTGCGTGGGTAATTAGCATTAACGTGAATAAAAGTCCAGGAGTTGGTGTTTCGTATTTTTGTCTCTTTCATAGGTACAGTGTACAGGTGAGTGAAAAATGAATCCCGAGTACGATATTGTCATGTTGCTTCTTGAAACGCCGTTTTCACGACGAACCGAGTTAGAACGTCGGTAAATTTTGCTAAATATCGAACAGTCAAAACCGTTAACTTCCATTGATAAGCGACAATGTCATCAGTACTCCAGGTCTTTTAAACCAGCCTGGTACGAAACATAAACGGCTCTGCCGTAGCCGTAATATTTATGCTGAAAGTCTATATTGTTGGCCGTGTCTACTCTTAGGCAATGTAAAAAACACATGGACGACGTCTCCGGGATATAACGATTTAAAGGATTTCATTCGAAGTGCAAAGTTACACAAAAGTTCCAAAGTACACATTAAAAATTTCATGGGCTTAAAAGATTTAGAAAGGAACACAACTATTGCCGAATCCCTCCAAGAAAGTGCTAGTTTAAACAAAATTTTGACTAAAAAAAACATTGTTGATTAAATGTGTTATGGGTGTTAATATTATTATTACTATTATTAGGACCCACTATTGACTGGGAAATGAACGGTATTCAGGCAAGACTTCTATCATTACTAACTACTAAGACCAAGTAATACGCAATAATCACATTAATTTAATTAATTTTATTATTGATAATATTATTGTCAAACTTCTATCATCGCCTCACCACATCAGACAGTCACGAGCCGCCACTGGTCTCTCTGCATCCCTGGGTGCCGTATTTGCGAAACCTCTTTCTCTATACTTTTATGTTTCCTCTCGCCTTCTCTCTTTTATTTACCAGAGTGCCGTTGTACTTTATTGGGGATGATCTTCCCTTCCTTTCTATCCTTTGTGGACACCCCAAGCAGTGCAACCCTTCTTCTATCTTTCTATTCTTACTTTACTATCACTTTCTCTTCACGCTTCTTCTCTCCACGTGACCTCTGTGGCGACACAATAAATGTAGTAGTAAGCGAAGAAAGATAAGCTCCTCCGTAGTCTAGTGGTAAGGGCACCCGTCCGGCAAGCATTAAACGTGCGGTTCGATTCCCACCGGAGAAGCAACATTTTTCTTCGCTTACCCTACACCTCTTTTGCGAATCAAACAAATAACATCTCACCAAGTACAATAATGGTAAGCATACGCGAAGTTAAAATATCGATACGATTTCAGAATATAAACAATACGCCATCTTAATGCAATCAAAGACACTCGCGTACGGCTCCAATTAAGAGCCAACCTTAAATACAGATTTATTAAGATCCCTCATGACCGGGTCAGAAGTTTCTCTGAGAGGGGGAGGATTAGTGAGGTCTTTCATTTTGATTCGATGGAGGTGATCCGGAGGATCAAGTCGTCTCGTTCAGGAGGTGTCCTGAAAATATCGTTCTGAATACCGCAATCGTTCTATCGTTTTTTCGTATCGTTTAGGGTTGCATTGCTCAACCAACTACCGTTATTACCACCGACAACTGTCTGAGCTGCCAGTGTGACATTAACTGAAGTTTTCTAGAGAGTTATAACAATATTAATGATGCTGTACTCATTTTATTTTTTATTGTGTCGCACTTTTGATAAATTTGTATCTAAAAAGGCTAATTTTGTATTTAAATATCCGGCATGATTTACTCCAGAGATTAGATCTCTCTGTAGAAGTGGTTAAAGACTGGCATTCAACAGTATTGTTACGTTGAACGGGTATTTAAAATCGGCGTAGGTAAAACTGAACAATTTGTTTCTCAATAACTTGAATTTACACGACTAACTATACACCGATTATGTACAGAATAATTCCGACTCGACTGGAATGGGTATGACTAGACTTCTCCCATTGTCTGAACTATACTACTCTGCTCCTGACGATGGTTCCCTATTTAAACATCCGCGCGGTCCTTCTCGAAGGGCTCCGTCACGTCAAGTATCAAGAGCAGCGGCTACGTGTCACAACTAAGCATATTTAACTGATAGACCATGAACAGAAGTCGAGGTCTTCTATATGAGTCAACAATTGGTAACGCAGCATGGTTTAATATCGCAATGCAATTTTAAATAAATTACACTATGAACGACCATCTACGAGTAAGTATTTTTGTGTTAGATTATTTTTCATGTCTTAAATACACCTAGCCATAGTATATGATACAAAAGTTAAATACATAATATGAATAATATAGTAGTGACAAAGAATCACTGAAGCTATCGAGAAATCTGTTGTCTTATCTAGAAAATATCATGTAAAATTGCAGAATTAACTATTGTCATTTATCTACAAATCCAGATTTTTTTTGAAAAAAATCAATTTTTAGCAATATCCTTTTTCTAGAAACGATGTTGAAATGGGGTTAGTAAAAGATTATAAACAGTTATAAAAGATAATAACATCTAATATAACATTTAAGAACCATTTATTCTAAGATACTAACAAAGTTTAAACCTTATAATTTTGTGTACTACTCTACAGATTATTCTTACTACTTATCATACTTTCTCCGCCCTAAGATACACTTTGTTCACTGAATCTAGAAGAAATGCGTATGGGTCAAACTTCACTGGCTGTGTCAATGGACTAACAGACCAACGAAAATTTTTTATTACAGTGACCAAACCTATCTTGGATTGCATTAATCCAAAACGTAGACCTAAAAACGTCACATGTACAACTTATCTATGCTTAAATATTTCACCCAAAAACAAACCAATACAATTCCTTGGTCCTTCACCAAACGGCAAATGAACAAACGGATGCCTACTTTTTTTATTCTCTTCACTAAATCTATCAGGATCAAAATTTTCAGGTTCTGGATAAAATTCAGGATCCATGTGCAAGCCCAATGCTGAAATCAGGACAGGAGTACCTTCCTCGATCACAATATTCGTATCTCGCAGAGTGTAATTCTTAGTACAGCGACGATTGATGCTTGGAAACGGTGGATATATTCTTAGTGTTTCTAAAAAAGAAAACAAAAAATCACCCCAATGTGGTTATGAAAGGATCTACCGTCTATAATCTGCTCCAAGTACTTCATCTCTTTCAAACTGTCGTACGTTAGCTCGCCATCATGTTTTGCTAGAATTTGCTCAACCTCTTGCCTTAATTTTGTCTGAATTTCTGGGTGTCTTGCGAGTTCATATAAAGCAAAAGTCATAGCAGTTGAGGTAGTTTCGAATCCAGCAATGAAGAAGAGATATACCTGAGCTGTGATTTCATCTAGGGTAACATTAGATGTGTTCTGCATATCAATCAAGATTTGCAGAAAGTCGTTTCTCCGAATATTTTTGTCTTGACGCAACCTTACGGTATCAGCGACCGTTTTTCTGAAGAAATCTCGCACTTCTCTATTGGTGGCTTTAAAACCTAGACGAACCGAAAGTTTGGGCATGGTCATCAAACAGAAGCCTCTTAATTTTCTCCAGACGGAGTACGTAAATATTTTCCTCCCCATTGTTCTGAATTCTGCGTCTGGATATTTGAAGCTGTTGCACTTAATTCCAAAAGCACAAGAACCAATAACATCTGTTGCATATCGTCCTAACATCTCCTTGACATCTACATCTTCGCTCAAACTACCCTCAATAGCTTCTTTCATGTAATCACAACACTCGATCACTGAGTGGAACATCATTTTCCTTTTTCCCGAAGTGAAAGTCGGTGTGAGTTTGGTTCGAAGATTTTTCCAGTCCACACCGTCAATCGCAAACAAATGGGCACTCATAGGGTCATCTTTTTTGTTGTAGTAAAACCCACGGTCGACAAAGTGTTGAAAATCTTTGCACAGGATGTCTTTAATGTATTTCGGATCTACGACAATCAGATTTGGTTCAGTCACTAGATAAATTCCTCCGAATTTGTGTCCCTTTCGTTTCAGTTCATCATAAAATTTTTTGCTGAGGGTTCCGACTGAAAAGGCTCTTGGGATGAATGTGTTGGCGTTACCCAGTGGAAATTTTACTGAGATGCTTGGGACACCTTTTTTGGTCCAGTAGTTGTATGCGTTGTAGAAATAATTAACTATGGTCAAAATAAAAATCGTTACAATTAGAAATACTCGTATGTACATGTCCTCGACGAGCATTTTGTAATGATTTGCACCAGGTCACTGTTCAGCACTAACTGGTTTTAGAGTTGCACTGGATTTTCAAGAGTATCTAGGTGGACGTCGCGTTATCGCTGCGTTATCGTAGACTTTGCAATGCAAAAATGTGATACACATGTATTTAAAATTTAATTAAAATGTTATTGTACATTTACCATTCAAATTATTTGGGAATGTAAGTAAAAATATTTTAACAAATTTAATTAAAATTCAAAAATGATAATTAGTAAAACAATCGGATAGGTCACATTTTATTTGCAAGTGCTAGATTTTAAAATAAATTTCACTTATTTCCTTGGTACTGTCAGTTACAAAAAAAATTGAACTGAATTATCATGGAACATCAATTTAATTTTAAGTGGCGAATTACTAAATAGTAGGGATGTACCGACTAGTGGCCCACCGGTCGGATAAGCCGACTATTCGGCCGTTTTTCATCGTCGGCTGGCAGTCGGCGACTGGTCGGCTAAACAGCCGATCGGTCGGCTTTTTTTATTAAAATTAAAATAGTCTACAAAACAATTAACCCCGGTTTACAGACCCTCAATTAAATATTTAATTGTGATTTAATTTTTAACCCCGCGTTAAAGTACCATGTGACCGACTCTACGCCAATCAGACGTCGCTAATGGCCTTGTTAAATGCGCGATCAACTTAATCTCAATTAAAATATTGTATAAACTAGCCCGAAATTGTGTTATTCTTTATTTTTGTACTGAGTTACTAAAAAAATTAAATGTTAAAATTATCCAAAAGAAATTAACACATTTTTTGGAAAAAAAGGAACTTTAGTTATTCCTTTTATTAAAATAAAACAAATTTTTAAAGTGTCAGAGAAATAGAAAAAAAAACAGACTGTCGCATTTATAAACCGGTTTTAGCAAAGCCGAACAGTCGGCCGACTAGTCGGTTTTTACTGGCCGAACAATCGGCTAGTCGGTTAGTCGGCCAGACCTACAGTCGGTACATCTCTACTAAATAGTAATGTATCATTAGATCCGGAATTTAATAATATTAGGGCGTTAAAGTACACACCAATTACATCCGTTGATATAGAAAGAAATTTTTCTTGATACATAATCAGATAGAAGACAGAATTTTACAATAATAAGTTTGGAAAAACATGTGAGTGTTATTGTAACAGCAAAAAAAAAATGTGTAGTTTATACCGTACTTATGCTTTATGTAAAAATATGTTATAGGTATTAAATGGTAAATGCTACTTATTTAAACTTTATAGCATAACATATTTCTGTACTTGTGATTTATGAACCCGCCTTGAGTTTTTCTTTAACACCCCGTAATACAATCGATTCTTAGCTCAAATGGGCGTGTTAATAACGCGAATGAGGCGGCTTTTACTTTCTAATGACATGAGATCAATTTTTTACGGCCTTTAATGGTAATAAAAAAAATCTATAAAAATATTTATTGAAAAAACTCTGGCATTACTGGAATTTGAAAATGAAATGTACTCTGTGTAGGGAACAGTTTGACTTTTCTAAGCAAATTAGGCTTGCTGATTATTTTTGAAATGAAGCAATTGTTGTTATCAAACTAAACAACTTAAACAGTTGATGTGAAATTATCACATATTTTCCAGTCCGTTTTTTTATTTTTAGCCATGATACGTAAAACCGAACAAGTTGTATTTCAATGCAACGACACTGACACTTTTTTTAATAAAATTATCTTATCTGTTGAACCTTTACAAACAAATAATTGCACTAACACTAAAATATATTGGTAGCAGGCACATACTACAAGGATGAAACTGTAGATTAATAAATTGTCAGTAAAATAGTTATTTATGTAACAAGTATATAGGGTCATTTCGAAATATTATATGTAATAATTGTAACCACGGCACAAATGAGGCAAAAAAGGCATGCACCACCTTCGATACAATGGCACTGATCCACTTTTTAAACAGTAGGTGGAAAGACGTTCGAATAAAAACAGTGTAAACACTGTCAGTTTCAATTAAAAGTAAAACCTACTTTTAGCTGGTCATCATTCGTTCACTCATGTATTCATTCATCGTCAAAGGTCAATGCGAAAGATTATTTATTCGTTGTAGAAACAAGTGGTGGTCCTGAGAAGGACCGATTTTTGGTAAAGCTTCATGGTGATCGACTTTTTATTCTGACTGATGTTTAGTCCTTGCCACAACGCTTCCACGTTGTTTATTAGAATAATACTAAGAGCAACTTAGAATGCTACTACCTTTTTACAATACATGTTGAAAATGTTGTCTTTGACTAGCAATACAGGATTCAGCACGTCGCAACGTATTTGCACGGATACGTAAAAAAACTCCGGGATTTCCACAGACAAAATTCACACGGATTGAGATCGGGTGACAGCGGAGGCTAAGCTAATGAGCCGTTTCTACCGACCCACTAGTTAGGAAAATGGTTTTTTAACCATTCTGGCCTAACAAAATATGGTGGTATAGAGGCACTTCCACATCTAGCTGCTCTTCCAACACATTTAAAAACTCGAGGTACTGTGCCGCGTTTATTCTGTTTGGTAAAACATAGGGTCCAACTAAGCGTTCATTTATGATACCGGCGCACACATTATGGAAAATCTCGTTGAAATTGCACCTTTTGACGAGCGTGTGGATTTTCATAGGACCAAATGTGAGTGTTGTGGCTGTTGAAATCTGCATTGCTGAATCGTGCTGCATCCGTACATAGAATGCAATTAAAAAAGTTCGGATGTTCACGACATTGCTGTAACAACCATTCGCAGTAAATTACACGACGTGGAAAATCAGCGGGCTCGCAATCCAACTTCAGCTGCAAGTCGGCGAGTGCTGATCTCGGGCTCTTCTTCAATGCGTTCCAAAATTTGTTCTTCAGATTGCAGTATTCTTTGGGTTCGATCACGGCCACGATCCTGAGTTTGAGGCTTGAAGGTATCATGATCTTGGAGATGTTGTACGATTGATGCAAATGTTCGCACACACTAAATCGTGCGATTTGAAAAGTGTTTGATCTACAATTCGCACGCCAACCCATCACCGACACCATAAAGCATTACCATGTCGACTCGCTCAGAATTGGAAAAATTCTACATTATCAAAGACGTTAATCGAACACAAGACGGTAACCAACGAATGCATGACTGGCTCTTATCGTGTTTTTGTACGTTGCTTGTCAGTGTGCTGCTTTTTTGGTTATTAATCCTAGTCGTTCTGTGCTATTCACTCTATAGTTGTTGTGGTAGGTAAACAAACACTATCAGTGGGGTGTATAACAATTTATATTAAATTTCCATTTGAATTTTAGGTGGTGCAACACAGCTTATTGTGAGTTATTCCCCATTTTTTTTTATTGCACACATTTGAAATCACCCTGTATAATCAAAGAGTTTACTAGACACGCTCAGTTATTAGTGGATGAGTGAGGAAAGAGCAACGCCAATTAGAAGGGTCACTACAGTAACATCTGAAAATGTACAAATTGCATACATAGCTTCATTTTTGACTCAACAGAAGATTTCTTTGCAACTTATTCACCTCCATTATAAAGTTATCAATAATAGTAGTCAAATGGATTTTTTAGGTGTCCATTACAAATCTTGTCGTTTTACGTCCCCAATGACGTCGTTGAACTGTCACTTTTGTGTACTGAAATGTCAAAATTACTTTTTTGGACTGACTTGTCAGTTTTGTACCTAAATGTCGAAAACCTACTTTTAAGTCCTCGACCCTGTGTTTTTGTCCAAAATTTTTTCAAACAAAGAAGCTAAAAGTGCCGTTATTTGAACTCTACCTTTACTGAATATCGTTATAAAATATGACTGTACTTATTTTTTCTTAGTTGAAGAGCAAATTATCACTTTGATTTTTATCAAATCTGCAGGGCAAGTACAAAAAAATGGACGTGTTCTTTGTTCAAATAGTAAAACTTTTGTGAATTATGGAAATAGAAGTATTCTAACTATTACATTTATGTCGAAGTTAAAACGATCGTTTGCAATGTCGGGAATTTTAGTCCAGCTGAAGCGTGCAAAATACCCTGACTAGTTTCGAATTAGATCAAGACGAGACATTCGCATGCAGTGGTTATAGGTGTCTTGTCACGGAGTGGAAGTTTACCTTATATGGGAGCTCCGGTGTTCAATGGGTAATTGTAAGTCGGTGGAAGTGGCTGACGCATTTCAGCAGGTGATTAATTCGGAATCCTTCATTACAAAGAGCAAAGAGGATGTGTTTGTGCGTTCGCAAATGTCTCACAAGAATAAGAGCCAACTATTTATAAGCAACCAAAAAACTCCAAGTCTAAAAAAAATTAGTACTAAATGATGTTTAAGAGTATTTTGGCGTTTAATAGTTTTCTAATTCTTTCAATCAATTAAATACATACAAATGAATAGTGGTAATTAAAAAATATGATTAAGAAGTTCGTGGGAAAATTATTCAAAAACGCCTAAAAGACCCACAATCCGGTCAGATACGTTACCTTAAAATAACAAAAAATGACTTCCTTCGCCCCCGAAGTACAGTGTACATTTTTTTAGAAATCTTGTACTTGAATCACCTATATGCCGCTACAGTCCATGGTCTAGCATTCCAACACATTATGTTACGAAAACACATTTGTTTATATTTAGTCGGCAACTCTGGAGTGACCTGGTCGTCAACTCATTATAGTAACCGAATTAACAATTCCTCCATAAATATGAATGCTTTAATAAAGGACAAGATTATACTAGTATAAATTGGTGAGTTTCCCACTTGAAAATGTTTCGGTCACATTATTTCAGCAAGACACGTATGTCAATTCCGACACATGCAGTGTCATTAAAAATAACACTGAGGTGTACCGTTTTAGAGATTTGAATAATAAAACAAATACAGGAGCATACTATTTTATAAAATTTAAATCTTACCTACTATGAAAAATTTTGAGATGTTATGACATTGATAGAGAGACTGGGCAAATTTTGGTTAG